CACCAGCAGGCGAGCGATGCCCAGGCAGACGGGCTGCCTTGGCATGGCACCGGCTCCGTCCTGGGAAGAGCTATCGCATCAGCCGAAACACCGTGCTGGGGCAGCAGCTGTGGGAAGGAAGCCTAAGGGACAGGAGACAAATCTTTGCAGCTTTTTGTGCCATCCCCTGCCCTGCTGTGCCCGGGAAAATGCACTTCAAGGTGAGCAAACAGGAAGGTTTTCAAAGTGATGAGCAAACTGCACCTTGCAAACACCCCCGTAGCCATCTTTTTCCCAGTTCACCCCAAGCATTTGCTGCAGGCAGCTCTGGCACATAAACCAGGTGAAATGGGTCAGGCCAGGTATTTGGTTTTTATTAAAAAAAAAAGTAGTTTGCATTAAAACAACAGCTGCTCCTGCCAGCCTGCAGCCTGGAAAAAAGCTCTGCTGCCACTGCTTTGACTCTCTGAGGTCCCAGAGGAGACGCGGTACTTTTTGACAGACCGTCCCAAACCTGGCAAAACAATTTAACTTGAGTGCAAGCGGTGGGAGAAAAACTCTTTCTGCTGCAGGTGCAAGGCTGGGTGCCGCCAGCCTGCTTTATCCCCCTGCTGCAGAAAGAGCGGGCTGCAGGCAGAGCCAGCTTTTTGCAGGCCACCTTTCAAACACCCCCAGCTACAGCAAAGGGGTCAGAAAAGGAGGAGGGGAATAAAAGGATGGGGAAAAAAAGCAAGCGGCTTGGCGCAGAGTTGCCGGGCAAAGGGGGAGCAGGTGGACAGAGGGTAGCCCGCTGCCCCCTCCCTGGTGCGGGGGGCTCAGCCCACGACTGTACCATTCAGTTTTCCTGCAGGGGCAAAGCCTGGGAAAACACAGTCCGGGGGGCTCGACCCCTCGTCCCAGCGGGGCACAGCCCCGGGACACCGCCACGGTGGCAAATCCCGGGAAGGGGCTCGGGGGCCCCCTTGGTTTTGCATGCTCGGGCTGTCCTCAGCCCGGCTTGCCCCCTCTCTCCCACCCTCCCTTCCCCTCCAAAAGGGACGAGGGGGCTGGCAGCCTGCAGAGCGCGGTGGGAGAGGCGGCGAGGCAGGCGTGTGGGAGGCAAAGCCCGAGCTCGGCTGGTCGGTGAGAGGTAGGGAGCCCAAATCCCCATGGCAAACTCACAAAAGGCCATTCGGGCTAATCCCGAGGGGCGAGCGAGGCAGGCCAGGGACGTGCTGCTGGGGAAAGGGCTGCGAACGGGGTGGGGAGGGGAGATGCGAAGTTTGGGGTGGGTTTGAAGTCAGGCATCCCTCCTGCCTTCCCCCGTTGCGTTGCTTTGTCTGTCCCGGTGATGGGAGAGGGGGAAAGTCTTGCAGATGCAGCGCTGCCGCTTAACAGCGATGGCGATGGGGTACGGTATCACTTACAGCCCTTTGCTTTCGCTACCCAACTATCCGGGTTGTTAAGCTGCGTGTTTGATACCCTCCCGCATTACCTCCTCCTGCAAGCAAGTAGAAAGATTTAGTGCATTGGGAAAAGCTGGGGAGCTCCAGAAAAGCGTCGCTAAGCGAGACGGGGAGGGGAAAGAGAGCTGCTTTTCATCTGAGCTGTATTACAGGCACAGTAGTGCCTGAAAACAGCCTTTTCTTTGCAGGAGTTTGAGAAAAGCGAGGGAGAGCATATGGAAAAACTCCTGCCAAATTAAGCAGCTGGGCCAGGCCAGGCAGGCAGCGCCCGGCGCTGGGCAGAGTAACGCTTTCTGCTGCTTGCGCACAAGAATCATTTCTCCTTCCTCTCCACCTTCCCTGGGAGCATTTTGCTTTTTGCAATTTCTCTTCTTTCCCTCTGATCCTCGTCTGCCTCGTGCCCTGTGCTGGGTCCTGAGCACTCGCGGGGACGTCTCCTGTTAGAACTGATCAGGCAAGGATGACCTTTCTGGGGAGGTTTGCCAGGCTGGGCAAGCCTCTTATTAATCCACCTGGGTTAATAATGCGGGGCTTGGGGTGATGCTGGGAAGGGGCGATGCTACAAACAGGGATGCAGGCAGCAGCTTGGCCAGTGGCTACAAAATGCTGCGGGTGACCAGTCTGTTACCGTGCTTCGGGAAAGGCACCGAGCTCCCACCCCGCGGGAGGGAAGACCTCGTCCCCACGCATGCTGTGGCCAGGGCATGGGGAGTGCTGCTGTTATCACACCCTGACCTTTCTGCTGATAGGACTCCAATCTTGGTGACTTTTTGCTGAAATTCTGCTAAAACCACTGTAACTCTGTCTTAGGCAGGAGGTGAGGGGGAAATCCCCTGTGAGTGTGTTAATATGTTGAAAACTTATTGGCCCTAAAGAAAAGTCATTGCTTACGTGTACCCTACAAAGATTTCCCAGGTTTTTAGTGGCTCCACTTCTGGAAGGGCTTAAGAGATCAGGTGAGGGGCAGCCCGGACCTTCCCTGAATCTGCAGCTCTGCCAGCCGAGCTGGGTGTGAGGAGAGGATGGATGAGAAGCGAGGGGAGAAGAGTGCATGGCTGGAAAAGCCTGGGAAACATCAGTGTGATCCCTCCCAATGTGTTTCTAAGGGACACTGTCAGCTGGATTTAAAAGAAAAAGCCTACAGCCACCACCAACGGAGCAAAAAACTACCTAAAGAAATTGCCCATGCCTCCCGGCTCGCTCTTAACAAACAGTATAAGGTCACCAAGCCAAACCACGTGTGGTCAGTAAATGCCAGAATTAAGGTAGCCGTGGTAACCTTGATTCAGGCTGCCTGTGGTGTGAGCGGTAAGCAGCAGCCCTGCCTGCTGGTTTTCATGCCCGGGCAGCGCACAGGAGCAGCCTGCCCACGGAGCAGGGAGGTCTTTGGGATGGCTGAGGCTGTCAGGGGCTGCTCTGCTCCCGAAGCTGGAGGGGAAGGGGCTGAACCAGGCAAGGAGAGGCTGCCAGATGAAGAAATGCTTTTGGGGTGAAAGGAAGTGGAAACAGCACTCTAGAGGAGCAGAAGAGAGCCTTGGCCCCTGAGCCTGCTTGCAATACACACAGGGATTCACCCAAGCTAAGGCGTTCTCAGATGCCAACCCATTTATTTTTGCATTTCCCATTTTCTAAGCGCGGAGCTGGCTCTGGCCCATAGAAGCAGCCACATCTCCCCAGAGCCTCCGAGCTCTGACCAGGCCGATACAGTCCTTGCCCCGAAGCTGCCAGCATCGCAGCTTTGAAGGCTCAAGCCCAGGCGATGCAAAGTATTCCAGAAATAAATCACATCTCCAAAGTGGCTCAAACCTGGCACCCAACTCGAGTGGAAACCTCTGACCTTAGTCCCTCCGTATCTCAGCTCATTGCCTGCAAGGGGAGGAGTACAGAGCCTGCAGGAGCGATCCGGGATGAGGCAGGGTTCTGGCAAACCAAAGCTGGGAACTCACCTACGTAAGTGTGAACCCGCACACAGAGGGTACGGCTAGGGCACAGACAGCCCGAATTCAAGGACTCCTTAACCTCTGAGCGCTCAGCCTTGCAGGTCTCATAGTGTTTGCTTAAGGTTCTTTCCTCTTGTGTAATTTGGACGGTGAGCGATGCTTATCTATTCTGATGCAGCATCTTGCTTTCCATCAGGCTCATCTCCGCCGGGGCGTTTCAGAGTTTCCAATGAGTGATTAAAGACATTTCGCTGATGTCTCCTCTCCCCTTTTTTGAATGCTTTACCGGTGAACGTCTGGCTGCTGCCTACACAAACCTGCGTGGCTTCGAGATGGCGGCTGCAAGTGCAGACCCAGAGACCCTGGCAGTCCCCGCAGCGCTGCCTGTCCCCTCCTAAACTCTTAACTTTAAACTGGGTCAATCCAAATCCGTACTTGCCAGGAGACTGCCCGGCCACGGACCAGCCTAACATCCCTCCATCACTCTTGTAACTCCCGCAACTCTGTAGGAAAGTCAGCGTAATAAAACTTTACCTCCAGCATACAGGCTAGAGCATGAAGGGCCAAGCCAAGCTGTCGCATTGCAGAGGGTTGGCACGGCAATATTTCCCCAGCCCTCATCTCTGAGCTGGGGAGGTGCTGGCTGCTGGCACAGCCAGTCCAGGGATGGGAATGGGTGCATGGGAACAAAACGATGGGTGCAAACTGCTCTGGGGATGTGAGTTGGGGGGGATCTGGCCCAGCGGGGAAAGGAGAGGACAGTCGCCATCAAGTGTTCGGTAAGAGATCTTACTGGGGAGGCTTTGGGAAGCTGGTTTGCGTCACTGTTTGCAGAACTGGCTGAGAAACCTGCGACGTGTCTGAACCTGAAACCAGGTCAGCAAAACACCTAACACAAGAGGATTTTCAGCACAAGCAGACTGAGGGCGTTACACTTCACCCCTGCAAAAAAGAAAAGGCAATGCTAGCGCAGTACTGCAGCTCGATGGGGACTTATCTAGGCGGAGGTTCAACCAACTATCCCCTTTCTTCAGGGGAGAGGGAATAATCAAAAAACCCCAAAAGACAGTCAATTCAACAAACCCAGATTTCTGGGGAATAGAGAAGAACCAAACCCCGGCAGCTTGGGTGAAGGATTTTGGACCTTCTCTAGTACACAATTATTTATCGCTTCCAGAAAAGCTTCATGCAACATGCATGCATGTTCTCTACAGGTGTCATCACCGGGGCCATGGTACCACGTATATGTAGTAGCACCTGTGCTAGATTTCTTTGCCAGATGGTTTTGCACTTCAGTTCAGGGGAGTACTTTGCAGGTATAAATCCCACCTTTGTGCTTTGCCTGCTGGCAAAGCAGACAGACTCCTAAACCCCTGGGTCACAGAAAACACGGCCAGGAGGATTTTGGACATCAAGGCGAGCCAAAAATCTATCAGGTTGGACAGAGGGTGGCTGTCTGGGTGGTGTCCAGCTTCGAGGTAGTAATCACCCCATGTCGCTTATTTGTGTCATGTCGTGCACTGCAGGGAAGATGAGCACAGAGGACGCTGGCAACAGGACCTCTCCCACCCCACCTCTCCTTGGGCTTCTGGTTTCGACCACTGAGCTGGTCCCACCCAGTCCCGCATCCCCCAAGATGGCAGAGCCGCTGCCTGTCATCGTCGCGCTCGTCTGCATCTTCCTCCTCCTGGCGACCTTTGTCATCTTTGTCACCCTCTGCAAGCCAGCGGCGCTGGACCAGTCCCGCTTTGGGCCCCACGAGTGCATGCCCCATCACCCGGCGGATGCCAGCGAGCCCCAGCTGAGGCTCTGGAAGCGGCTGGGCTCCCTGCGCCGTTCCATCAACACCTTCAGGAGGAGTCGGCCAGTGTCCCAGAGCCAGCTCGCCTGCCCCAGAAGCTCCCCTGCCAGCCAGGACTGGGACATCATGGAGTCCACCAAAATGTGATCCTGCTCTGCAGGAACTAAATCACCCCGCATTGCTATTCTTTCCCAAGCTTTTGGTTCCGGCTCAGTTCCCTCCTCAAGCAGCCCCTGGTATCCTGGGCATCCCGGCAGAGCCCCTTTGAGCAGCTCATTTCCAGGCAATGGCTCTGCAAGGCAACAGGAGATTTTGCTATTTCATGTTCCAGAATGCTTTCCAGGTTACTGTTTCCTGGCAGGAAAGGTGGAGGCATCCAAACGACACCCACGCGCAGCTATCACCGGGCAGTCAAAAAAAATATTGCTGCTTAATTTCTTTTGGAAAACATTGTGCAAGTTGCGAGGCACCTGTACAAACAGCCTGGGCTAGAGAAGAGCAACCTGGCTGCCTAACAAATATCGCCTTGAAGAGAGGCATCCCGGGGCAAACGTGCTCCACAAAAAGCAATCCTCAGCTGAGATTGCCCCCAAGACGTGCTCCTGAGCAGGTGGAGGAAGGCTCATGCCCCCCGTGCGCTGCCCGGTCCCCGTCTCCCCTCTCCCCATGCAACGAGCCATGGGTTGCTGCAGTTGATGCTTGGAAGGATGTGCGCTACAGCTGCCTGCTGGAAACCTGCTTCAATAAATGAGCAGCGGGAGCAGGTAAACACGCCTGTAAATGCATTAAAGAGGCCTTTTGAAGCTCACAGCAGCTGCCAGCTTGGAAAGCCACCGCGCAAGGCTGAGCTGCTCGTTTCTGCTGGGAAAGGGTACAACGGCCAGCAGGTAATCTGACGTGCTTGAAGAAATCAGTAGGAAAAAGAACTGGTTTAGTTCTTCCAGGTCTGCAGCTCGTGCTAAGTTGAGCCGTCAGGTTCACCCCTTTGGGTGAAGTCTCCATGCCTGGTGAGGTCCCATGGCAAGCACCAAGCCCTGGCTCTCTGGGTTTCGCATGGTTTTTGACCCTCGCGGGGTGCAGCTCAGCGTCAGGACCTCCCTGGGCTGCCTGGGACATTCCCGCTCTCCTCTGGCCCTGGGCTGCCTGGCTTTCGGAGAAGGGGATGGGAAACCTTCAACAACTCTCTTGTTGCCATAGGGATGTGGGGGATGTATTTGAAGGGGGAGAGCTTCAGTACAAATGGTTCACTTTTAAAGGTGTAAATTAAACTAGCCCAGGTGATTGCCCATTTCCATTTCCCTCTGATTTTGTTCTGTGGAAAACAAACGTCCCCCAAATAGTGCCTCTCCTTTGCCACAGACTTCCAAGGTCATCCCCCTCTTTTGGGAAACATGCTCTAAAAAAGGGGACTTTGATGTCAGACTCGGGTTTCCTCCCTTCACAGTCTTTCGATTTGCAAAACCGGCTCAGTTTTAGGAGTCCCCCGGCAGAGCGTCCCTCCGCTTGCACTGCTCCCCTGCCCACCTCCCCGCCGGGTGCAGGGATTGCAGGCAGATGCCTGACCCCCGAGACAGGCACGGTGCAACGGCCATCACGTACACCGTACCGCGGCGCAGCAGGTGACGAGGAGCCGCAGGGCCGGCGTTTGGGGACCAGCCACCCCGAGCGTGACTCCCAGCAAACCTTTGTTGCAAGAGGCGAAAGGCTCCTTTCTTCTCTCCCGGTGACTCACCCTGCCCGCGAGAGGCAGGGACAAAGCTGCCCCTTTCCCTGTGCCGGGAGAGGTATTCAAGGCAGGAGGAGCCTTCCCAGGGCCCTCTGCAAAGAGCCTTTGGTGCCCGCTCCAGAAGAGCCCTGGGTTTGAAGGGATGCTGGAAGCCCTCGGAGGCTTAGTGAATGCCCGCATTCATTCAGCACTCACTGAGCCATTCAGCTCTGCCCACCGCTCCTTCAAAGAGGAACAAAAATGAAAGCGAAGTCCAAACGCTTTTCTCCCTCCATTTTTCCCCCCTCTCAGAGCATCTCTTTGCACGCACTTTTCTCCCTCCCCTTTGAGACCTCCGCTCTCAGCCCCTTCTCTGCTAGGAGGAGGGAGAAAGCGGGGATGCAGCCAGGCAAAGGGGCCTCACCAACACAGGGCTTGGGTTTTCTCCTCTCAGCCCCTGCAGAAATGGGGTGAATTTTCTATTTTTCCCTTGTGCTTTCCTGTCTTCTCCCCGGTGCTCACAGTCTGGGTTAGCAAAGGAGCAGGGGAGCACACAAGCAAGAAGACATCTTGCACTGGCCTGGGGGAACAGACTGATGATGGGGAGGGAAAAATCTCTGCCCTGGGCTTCTTGCAGCTCACAGCTGCGGTGCCAGGGCACGGAGAGCAGGGAACCCCCTTCACCCACCCAGGGGGCCCAGTGGAAGAGAGCCACATGCCTGCACTATGCTGCTGGCGGCTGGGATGTCCTCGGGGACGCTGACTTCGTAGCTGCTCTGAAGGAAGATGGGTCGGTTGTCATTGACGTCCAGGACGGTGACATACACAGTGGCAGTCCCAGTGCGCCGGTTCCCAGTGGGGCCGTTGTCTGTACGGGAGAGAAAGGCGAGGGGAGGTTCGGTCACCTCCATCTCCTCCTTGCAGAGGTGGTGCTCAGCCTTCGGCTGCTGAAAATAACAGGACCAAAATTTCTAAACTAAAATCCTCCATCTTTTCTGAAGCTTCCAAATCCCACACGGAACCATGAGGGTTTTTTCTGCCTATCCTGAACGAAAAAGGAAAAGCCAAACCACCCCCAAGCTCTGCCATGGAGGCACTGCCCAGTAAGGCTGGAAAAGCAACCGGTCATTAAAGAGGGTTTGCAACTCCATAGACAAAGAGGGTGATGTATGCTGGAAGGGACTGCTGGAGGTTAGGGATCTGGGAGATGAAGATGGGCAGGGGTCTGATAAGTTTTCTGTAGACCCAGCTCAGCTCACAGCCAAAGAACATCGGGACCGGTTGATGTTCAGTAGATAAAGACATCGCAGCACGGCTCTTGGTTTTGCCACGAAGGATGAGGCAATGGGGAGCATAGGTTGGGTTTGGTTTTTCCAACGTGCCTGATACAAGTGAGCACTAAACCCACCCAGCTGGGATCTGGTGACTGGGAAAACACAGGCGGTCTGACACCCATCGGAAGGGCAGAACGGACCCTTTACCACTTGGGATCCGGTTCTGCATGCCCAGCCGGTGCAGCATCCCCGCTGCAGACCCCGTGGCACCTGCAATGCCGTGCCCCGAGATTTCTGACCAGGCCACTTAATTCTCCTTTCAAAAGGGACGTTCAAGTCTTCTGCAAACAGGCACATCATTATAAAGCTCTGGGGATGACGGCCAAGATGGGTTTGGCACGTGGGCCCTCTCTCCGTGCCAGGTGGCTCTGGATTAATCAGCAGCCACTGAGCCAAGGGCTGGCATGGCATTAGGGGACTGATGCTGTGGCACTGGCATTTCTGGGTGGAGGTCTGCCCCGAACAGCATGCAGCCTTGCAGCAATGGGGGCCTTGCCTTCCCCAGTGGAAAGGGAAACCCCCGGGGCTGGGTGAGCCCAAGGGGTGAATTTACTGTCTGCAAAAGTCACGGTAGAACCAGGACGTATTAATGCACGTGGGTTGTGAAATGCTAACGCCAAACACAGGCTCTGGTTTATAGAGAGCCTCAAAGGTTGCCATCTCTCTGCCGTGCCTGCAAGGCAGCTCAGCACGTGCACGGCCGCCCTGCGTGGCTGCGTGGCAGCGGTCCCGCGGGAACGGTGGGAAATCCTTACCGATGGCCTCCAGGATCAGTGTGTACGATGCCACGGTCTCCCTGTCCAGACTCACGACCGTCCTGACCACCCCATCCCTGAAGCCGACGCTGAATTTGCCATCCTGGTTCCCACCTGCAGCAAAGGACAAGGACCAGGTTGCCCGTTGTCCGGATGCAGGGAGCAGAGCCCACGCTGCAGAGGATGCTGCAGCCTGGGCATGGGGTCAGCCCGGCCGTGGAAATCGCAAGTGCTCAGCCTGCCCTGCTGAAGGGCTGCATTTTATACAGTTTGGACCAAAGGCAAGTGTTGGGCAAGCTCGTATCTCATCCTAGGCAAAGCTTCTCTGCAGCAAAAGCGGGCAGTGCGCCTTCTCTCTGCCACACCAAATGCCGTGCCTGCCTCACAGCACAGGAAAGGAGCGACGATTGTAGGAAAAGCTGAATCATAGAAATGCCAGATCATTTCCTGAACGCTTCGGAAGAAAACTGGGGTAACTTTGCGTGCGGCCCGCGGTACCTGTGGGACAACACACACCTTTTCTCTTGTGGGGGAGGCCAGAGGGGCCGTGACATGAAACGTGAGGCTGCTATTGTGAGAAAAATGACTCGCCGGTGACGCTTCTATTTTTGCCCTCTTCCTGAGGGCTAAATGCCGCATGTGCAGTTTGCAAGTCAAAGCGCGGCCGGGGGGTTCCCCGGCCTCCCTCCCGCTGCAGGTGCTGCGGCTGCGGTTCGAGCCAGGCGCTGCCCGGGTGGCATCGCTGCCCACCTGCTCCTTGCCCACCCAAACCCACCTGCATGCCGGGCTACGAGATGCCCTAAAACTCCAGAAAGGCTTCCAGCCTTCGATGCGCGTTAAGCGAATACCGCCCCAGCGGTGTTAAGCCCATCCTCCTGTTTTTTGCTGGCTGCATCCCGGCGGTGTGAGACGGCAAGGGATGCTCGGGGGCAAGGGTTCACCCCGAGCGGGACAAGGAATAGCGGCGGAGCCGTCAGCAAAGCAGGGAGCCAAGCGGGGCTGTTCGGCAGAGGGCGATACCGTACAAGCTTCGGAGGGGCTGGAAAAGGGAGCGCTGATGTGCAGAACACCCTGGCCAAGGTCTGGGGGCTGCCCGGCTCCTTTCCACAAGGAAAGCTCGCTCCCCTTTGCAGCGCTTTGCAAGGGGTTCATACCAGTGATGAAGTAGCTGAGCTCAGCGTTCAGCCCGATGTCGGCATCCGTACAGTTGAGGCGGACCACTTTGAAATCCCGGGCCACGTTTTCGGGCAGCGACACGTTGTAGACGGCTGGGAAGAAGGTGGGGTTCTCATCGTTCACGTCCAGAACTGAAAAGGGGAGCAGAGCTGAGTGCCCCCCCCCGGGCTGCCCCTC